ACACACACACACACACACACACACACACACACACACACACACACACACACACACACGTACACTTGTACACACACGTACACTTGTACACACACACACACACACTACACTTGTACACACACACACACACACACATGTACACTTGTACACACACACACACACACACACACACACACACACACACACACACACACACAGCTTATTTGAAATTTGGACAGTGTCATTTACATTATCCAACTCAATCCAGCAGTAAGGGTTCCTCAGATTGATTGATGAAGAGCTCTTATGGCATTCTGCTAAACCGGTTACTCTGCATATTGCATTGTTGCTCTGCTGTTTGTAGAATGACAATGAATTGCAGTTTTATCCTCTAGTATCAACTTTGGATGAAGTATAAATCCTGTAAGGGATTATTATTCCATGGTAAAGTCTCATAGCCTGATGTGTTGGTTTTATCCGTGGCATGGAGTGATCTGTTAATGATTACTAAAAAATATGATAGTGGAATGTAGATATATATAATGTGTAAATATATATATATATATTTGTGTGTTTTGTCTTCAAATGGGTTACATTTTTATATAAAAAGTGAGATGAGGGTAGATAAAATCACATCAAGTTGTGATGTAAATATATATGCAAGTCACAAAGTCCTAAGGGTAGATGTCCAGTGCCTAGATATACTAACCTCTTACCAAGATCAGTTATCACTTTTCTGATGATTGACTAGGCAGCAGTTAGTTATCACTCAAAATGTATCATACAAAAATAGTGGAGATGATCTAGATGCAGTTGAAGTCAAGAGTTCATGATTCCCTTGAAAACTTCAGTTGACTTTCCATACTTGCCTGTAGTGTGTCTGTGCTAAGCATGTGTATGTTGCAGTTTACGATTAGCAGTATCAAATTTTCTTATGTGTAGATAAACTTATTGTTTGAAGGTAGATTTGTCCCAGAGATTACCTTAGGAGCGATGGCACAACACTTTTGGTAATAAAAGATTGCATAGGTTTGCGTATTCACCTTGAGTTTTTCCCAGTTTGGCATGTATGACTGAATCTTAAGAACTCTCATGGAAATGCTGTTTGGGAGGAGTACGAAGTAGGAGCTGGTTGCATCCTGTATTTCAGAATTGCAATGATGTATATTGCAGCTCTTTATTCTAAATACATTTAAGCCTCTGGAATATGTTTTAATTCAATCCAAATCCCCATTAATCATACAAAGTAATAAAGATGGCCCTAAACTTATTCCTTTCAGTAAAATTCCCCCCCCCCCCTTGTGGGATGTTTTTTATTTTTGCATACACTCAATCATATACAAAATGTGACACAAAGATAATAAAAAATATTTTTCCCCATCTTGGGTACCTACTGAATTATCCTCTTGTGGACAGATTCCCTGATGCTGTGTGTGCATCCACCAGCCACCACTTTATCTACACTCATACAACTCTATACATTGTGAATGAATAATAATTACATTCATTTTCATTCTCAGATTATTTTTATAACGAAAAATATTTTTCAAAATGTAGAATTGCTATGGGTTATCCTTATCTCATCTGTTAGTTCACTGGCATAATGTCAGACCCCATAGGACCAAGGATGTAGAATTTAGACGAGAGCTAATGGGCCAAAAGTTGCATGCTGGTGTACTTTGTTTGTAACATAAACAAAATTGTCGTTCTTTACCACAACCACTGCAACCACTTTCAGAACTTAGCTGAGGGATTTATGAGTACAAAATTATTTAAGATTAGGGATGGTAATGAACCACCCCAACTGTCTGTTACAAAGTGTATAGGGCAGAAGAATAATGACAGACACTATGTTCTAGATCTTATAGGTTTGTATTACCAATCTGAATTCTCAACATTTTTTTCCAATATGTCTGATAAGTTATTTGGTGTTATTTTTTATTCCAAATTCCTTGGTGTTATATTTCACTCCAAACTGTCCTGGCAGGATATCATTTCCATAAGAGAAATAGTTCACCACCACCTCCAACTCTCATATATCCTAGATTTCATATTTTCATGTTACCTTGATCATCTTCACTCTTGATTAGGATGCCATATTAACTATTCTGCCTTTACCTCCCTTCTTGCTCATCTCAATAGACCACCACTGCAGTCTTTGCTTAACCCTAGGTGCCTTCTGCTCTTCTCCAGTTGAGACCCTGTTCGCTGAGTCAGGCATGATCTTTGCTTTCCCACACTTACCTACTCCTTTCCTCATTCACATGGGTACTCTCTTTTCCCAGTCTCTGGCGTCTTCCCTTTTCTTTCCATTCTGCTCCTCAGTGACTTAATGTTTACCCTTCCCCATTTCTGCTCCTCTGTTTTCCTTAATCCACCAAAACCAGGTATCTCCCCTTCTGTCTTTCTCACCCATTTCCAGTGTCATTACTACAGAATACTCTCTCCCTTTCTCCTCTTTCACTATTTTATTGACTCTGGTAATTCACTATCTCATAAAGTCTATGCACTCGATCAACCATTTGCCTGTAAAATTCAGAACTGGTTCTGTCTACATGCTACACATCTACCAGGTTTTGCTGGGTGCTCAGCCATGTTGGAATCCCCAGTAATGAACAGGGAGATACTCTAGCATGCCACTATGGCCACACCACACCAACCCCATTTTTCACATATTCCAGCCACAGATTATTGCTCCCACTTGGAGACCTTCCTTTATGCCCGATGACAGTCTTTCTGGTCAAGTATTCTCTCTTGCCTGTTTGCATATTGGCCATACCTGCCTTACACCTCTGATTTCATGTCACGTCTTAATCCGTCCCTCTGTTACCCATGTAATGTTCCTCTTTCAGTTCCACACATTCTGTTGTCCTATCCACACTTTACTGTAGCCCATACCTGTTTTCCCTTATCCATCCTCCCTTCACTGACCTAATCTCACATTCTTCGACATGTTTTCCTTCCTTAGACACATACTTATCCTTCCCTTGATCCAATCTCCCTTGCTCATTCCTACCTTATCCCACTCACTCATCCTAACCATTTTTATCTAATACCATCCCACTCCTGTACAACTGTTGAGGTAAAGCACCTAATTTTTAACTTGGACCCACTCTACCCATTCCAATACTATACCTTCCTATAGTGGTAGATGACGTAGAACACATTTGTTTAACTAAAAATTTTAACCGTTAACCAACCATTCCGAATATACTTGACATATATGGAAAAGCTACAAATCAGGGCCCACATACACTTACATTCTCAGTTCTGTCAGGTTCTAATTATTTCCATGGCACTTGATCATTCAAAGTTTAAAGACAAAGAACAATTCAACAAAATAGCTGTGAAGATTTTTAACGACGTGAAAGGGACTGCTATATGGAATAATAATATTGTCAAACATCTATATTACATAAATATCTTATGTATGATCTGTCCTACAGATACCCAGTGCAAAGCATGCAGCAGGAAAATGAAATATTCTATGGTGTTCCATATTTTAACAAGAAAGGAAGGTTTCAATACTTATTCATAAATTACAAATATTTTTCAAGGAAAACTATTGGAACAAAATCTTGCAATAACTAAACATTCTGAAATCTATATATCTGAAGTTGAATAAGTTACTTTAGGGGTCATCCAATATTTTCATCATTATCATGAGCATACAAACCGAATATAAAAAATGATGATCCGTCGGTTGGCAAATTTCGCGTCACATCGGTGTTGCTAGCAAGGCTGGCCACTTTTCTGTAGAGACATTTCTACCGTTTTCTAACCATTAAAGGCTAAAGAAAACAAGCATAAATGATAAAATTGAACCAGACACTATCATAGACGGATGGATATTAGAGTACAGTTACTTTGGGTTGAGTCAGAACCTGATGATTATAGGATTCCCTGCATTACTTTCTTGTTCACTGCACTGTTTGAAACAATATAGAATAAGTGCATTATTAAGACAATAATGTAACAACATTAAATGAGCCCGCATCTCTTAACAAAAAATGTATTAGATGTATAACTATAGAAAATGTGACATTTAACCTGCACATTTGATTTATCGAACATAACGACTATTCATAGGGAGTGTGTTGCAGGGCTGAATGTTTAAAGTTACTATGTGACTGTGGCTCTGCCTTTGATAATGCCTAGCTGGAAGACCCTGCTGAATTGACATCGGATGAAATTTCTGCCATGATGACATTCAGTCTGCCACATCATACCAGTTCATACCAGGATGGTTTCAGCATTTCTTATGTTTGATCTCTTTGAACATAGGAAAATATTTCAATACTGCTTTAAATACTTTTCTTTTGCATCACACCATCTGTCATAAAAAAATACAGCCTATGGAAAAAATCTGTAGGCTCTTTGTTTAGTCCTGTCATCACTCTTGATTTTAATATAGTGAAACAGCAATATAAAGACAACTTTATTTTGAATTCATATATTTTTTGTAGAATCACAAAATAGGAATCCTATTTTGTAGATTCACATAATACGAATCCTATTTTGTAGAATCACAAAATAGGAATCCTATATCTGGGCTCTGATTTGTAGCTTTTCCATATAAGTCAAGTATATTCAGAATGGTTGGTTAACAGTTAAAAAGTTAAACAAATGTGTTCTACGTCATCTACCACTAAGGGAAGGTATAGTATCAGAATGGGTAGAGTGGGTGTTAATAAGTTAATAAGATGGGGAGATCTTGTTCCATCATCATTTTTTATCCACTAACTTTTAAGGGGGGGGGTGCTCAAAAGTCTACTTTGTAGATGTGATAATGAAAATTATGGATGACCCCTTACTCACTTTTCTGTTAAAATATAAGTTAGCATTAATATTTTCCAATAGTAATATCAATTATTTTATCATACCACCTACTATTTGGCATACATTTATATCTAAAAGTATTATGGTTGTCCCTTTGTGATGGAAATATTTCCTATATAGTCTACAGAAAGAAGTAGACACCTTACCTGCTTTTGCAAAAATAATTAGGTCAAGTAAACAATACATTTCCTGAAGCAAAGAAATTCAACATATTTATTTACAGAAGCACAGTGGCCAGTCAAAGTCTATTCAACTTGAAATAGTATACAAATGTGTGTACACTTATATCTATATGAAATATACACACACTTATGTTCCTATAATACTTTGACATCAAGTTCTCTCAAAACAAAAGATAAATTTCAAGCTTTTTCTTTCCAAATATGGCTCTGGAACTGAAATGGTAAAGATCTAAAGAATCAACTCTTCACAAAGATTGAAGAGGAAGTGGGCAAAACCAATAAAACAAAGTAAACCAAAATAATTAACCAATAGCAATGTGTAACATGTAGTATTTCAGTATATATATAAATACAAGATTTCAAATAAGTGCACTACAAACATTTCTCAAGGTTTTGTGCTGTTAGTAGCACTTGAAAATTGAAGTAATTACATTTATGCTGGAATGATGAACATCCATAAAACATAGGAAACAATATAGGCTTTGTGGGCTAAGTGTTTTTTCCCTTCATCTCAATGCATTTCCTCTCTATTTTGGTAATTCACATGAAAAATCTTATCGCATGAATATATATATCACATGATTTCCTGATTTACAAGGTTTTGACAGTTTCAAAGACTGGACTCTATTTATTCTTCATTTCAATGTACAGCCTAACACTTTTTCATGCTTATGACAGAATGACAAAAATGATGGGTGAAAAGATATTACTTCTCTTACAATCTGTCGCTATAAAAATATCCAAGGTCTGTCAGATCCACTGTAGCTTCTATTTTTTATGGATACATAACAATCCTCTTCCTGTATAACTACTATGCAGAGATTATACCTTGGTCTTTTTTAACAGAAATGTATTTCTGTGTACAATGAACTGCACTGTCAGATCCTAACTTTAGTTTAAGAGTCCAAAATGAAATCTCAAAGAATACATATTTGTTAATGACTAAGTGCTCTACTATGACTGACATAATAAAACCATATTTCTGATAGATTAATAAAAAACAAGGACCCAGTCTTTAATACATATCAAGTCAGCTTTGCAATGGTACACACCTCACAGAACAATGAACACTGAACAAAAAACATATACAAATATTAAAGGACTTGATAAATCCTCATACAAACACATACAGTAACCCCAACAGCAGAAACAATAATGAAAATATAATTAAACAGTTTTATTTGAAAGTTCAGATGACAATACCACATTAGATTTGAATTTTCATGTTTATTAGAGAAGGAAGAGGAAGTAGTCTTCCAAACCTGAAAAAGAAATCTAGTTTGAATTTAAAACTGTCATCTTGTCTCCCCATTGGACTGTTTAATTTAGCTTTCCCAGCATATAATACATAAATATGTGTGTTAGTCTGTGGGTATGGATAGCTACTTATTTATATATTTCTTGATTTTTTTTTTTCTCATTCACTATTTATCTATGTATTTATTTTCAAATTCAAAGTTGATGATTTATATATCCATTAAATTATCTCAGTTGCTACGTATATTATAATCTGTAAATCATAATTTTTTTTATAGAACATACAACTGTTTCCATTTCTGTGAAGCATACTAGTATAATCTTATCATGAATGCTTTATCAGCATATTACTTGTTAATCAAAAAACTCTATCTGTTAACTCTAATTATTTGAACTGGTAAGAGAGAGCCACATGTATAAACTTCTCATTAATTACTGAACAAAATTTTAGCAGTTGCATCTATATAACAATTATTCATACTACAGCTGACTAAATGGAAGAGAACTAGGCTACTGAATTAAAATGCAAATTAATATATAAATTGTTATAAGGCACTATTGTGTTTCCACTGTCCTGATGAATAGTATTTGTTTATCCAAAAGACCAACAAAATCATTTCAGTGATCTGTTTGTATGATAGAAAATGCATTTCTGTCACAAGAAAGCAGTAATATCCCAACTTTTTCTTTGACTGCATTATATATTTATCATATCAGTGGAAGTACATACATAAGAATTCTGAATTTCTCCATTAGGATGTCCTTGGTAACTGAAATAATATGACCTGTTACATCTAAATACCTAAATTAATTGGTAAAATTTACATCAGTGACATTCGTTTTCTCTATATATAATATATATATTTTCTAATCTCTTCAAAAAGTAATGCCAAAGCTACACTAATCTACTCTTCAGGTGCAGTGTTAATGAAATGGATATTTATAATGCTCTAAAGGCATTACCTGAATCAAGGCCACTAGCTAAAAGTATGCATATGCTTTAGTCTCGGTAAAGCAAAATTCTGTTTTTGGTATTCTTATAATTGTATCAAGTATGGAAACATACCAATCATGTGACCATTTTTCTTACATCTAATAGATAATAAATATATAGCTTGTCTTTTCAAATGCAAAACAAAGTTTACATTGTTTATCATATCATATACATTTGGTCCCTTTTGCTACCACTAAAAAAAAAAAAATGTATATGCACTGCATATCTTCCAAAGTCCTACTTCTGTCTAGTCTGGCATGAAAAGAAAACAGAAACTACTACTCTAAAGATTTTCTATGTTTCTAAAACAAATAAATAATTCAGTTCTGAAAGAACATTTGGCCACCTTTACTTTACCTAGCCATTTCTCCATAGTTGCTGAACTGATGTTGCTCTGACACACATCTAAGATACATACGTATACTTTTAATTTTTTATTTTCCATTATCTAAATATAAACAACAGAAAATCCATATAGAAGACATATAATTAGTCTTGGTAACTTCCGAGGTTATCAAAGCATGAATACAATTAGTCTTTAATCCAAATGACAGTAAACATAGAAAGTAACCTATGAAGAACCATTGAAACCCTTTTACAATTTTATTATGATAAAAAAGCAACAATCATTTGTAAAAAATGCTGTGACCAATAAAAAGCAGTTTATGCATTTCTGTATTTCCATTTAAACCAACTGCAACTACATATTCAACCAAGTTCTTATCATCATAACAAGTTTATGTACTTCCTTACAAGCATAATGATAATAAACTTCTCACTGAACATTAAATTTCATTAACAAACAAATAAAAATCTTTGAAACTTGTAGGTTTTAAACACTGAATCATAATGCAATGAATAATTAGAAATATATTTTCCATTATATCAAGTTGTTTTCTAATTTGTTACTAACCAGAAAATATACAAATGGTAATACACCATAAACTTGCTTTTCTATCTGTCTTTTGTACATACATTTTTTACAAAATATTCAACATTTTCTTACCTGAAAATATAAATAATTTTGTTCATACTTTTTGAATACTGAACTCCAATATAGCAGAAAGAAAATCCTCAACTGAGTATTGTTATAATCAACAAGTGACATTCACATGATTTCTGGACAATTTCTACAAAAACATGTCAAATACATTATTTGCCTGCCCTACTCTGAGTTGGCAGAAGTTTTATAACAATAATTATAGAGCTGATACTACATAATGACACAGGGTCGTTGCCTTGGTGTTAAACCTACAGCAGCCATTGTTGCATATGTGAAGACATCTTGCACTCCTTCCTGTGTCTTTGCAGAGCACTCTACATACTTTGAGAGGCTGCATTTCTTGCAAAGCTTCTTCCCATCTCTTGGACTCAGGACATTCAGGTTCCTCACATCCTTTTTAGTACCTATCAAAAATATATATCACTATTAATACACAAAGCTTATGCTAAAATACAAATCAATATACTACTTCAACTTTGCAGGAACAATCATATGCTTTATACATCAAAAGGAAGAACAATGTGAAACAAAGTCTTAAAGATTGGTTTTATAATGCAAGATGAGAAATAATGAAAAACTAACCAACAAGGACCACTGGTGCTTTTGGGCAATGCTGTTTTAGCTCTGGCAGCCACTTCGATGATACATTCTCAAAACTGGCACGATTGTCCAGCGCAAAACACACTATGAACACATGTGTCTGTTGGGCAAGCAAGGGCATTAATATCATTATATATCAATTAGTGTCTCTGCAATCCTTGTCTTTTAAATTTTCTTCAAACATATATAAATATAAAAACAGTGTCAGGTTAACTTAAAATCATCAGTAAGTTTCCTACTGAGAAAGAATGGCCTTTTATAAGCTCCTAAAATGATAGCTCAATATATAACGTAACAGCCAACCTAGTTTACATAACGTATATATGTTATTTTACAACTTGTTAACTGCAAATGATTCTTTTGTTGAACTGCAAATGAATAACACAACAGGATAATTAACCCTGTCTTACCCCGGGATAAGAGAGTGGACGCAATCTCTCGTACTCTTCCTGTCCTGCTGTGTCCCACAACGTCATAGCATAGGATCGCCCTTCTACTGTGTGAGAACCTGCATAGTTGTCGAACACTGTTGGCACATATTCCTGTGATGGAAGACATTTTTCTCCGTTAATTATAGTGATTACTTATTAGCGCACGCTCGCACACAGACACGCATGCACGCGAACACGCACACGTGCGCGGGCACACACACATGCATGCACGCACGCACGCACGCACACGCACACACACACGCACACGCACACACACACGCACACACACACACACACACACAACACACACACACACACACACACACACACACACACACACACACACACACACACACACACACACACACACACACACACACACACACACACACACACACACACACACACACACACACACACACACACACACACACACACACACACACACACACACACACACACCATGAAAAGAAGACATGGTATACGCGCCCAATGCCCCAGAGAAGAGTCCTTTCACTGACTGGCTTCATAATTTCTCACTACGGAATTGTGGACTGTTTGTTGCTGCCTAAGGTAAACTTACCTTAGGCAGCCATTACCTGATAGCAGGTAATGGCATGATGCTTAGAAAATGACGATGCTGATTATGGTGTTCATGGAGGTGGAGGTGGCGTGGTGGTGGAGGTATTGGTGCTGTTATTATTATTACCTCCGCCAA